ACGACGGTGTCGACGGCAAGGTCGCTGAGAATGTCGCCCGCAACAACGACTGGCCCAACGCGCGCGATGTCCAAGTCGCCAACCACACGACGACTGTGTTTGGAAAGAAGATCACAGTGCCCAAGTTCAAGATTCTCATGGTCGCCGGATTCATCCTGGTAAACGTCCTCAACGTGGTCACTCTCCGCTTCGGTCTTGCCCCCAGCAAGGTCGCTCACGTTGCTGGCGTCGGTGCCACTCCTCCGCTGGATCCCTTCAAGGTTGCTGGAAGCGGACTGGACCATATCTACGAGCAGGCCAAGGCCACCGCCACGTCCACCATTGTCACCATTCTCATGCCCATCAAGTACGAGCTTGAGTTCCCGTCTATTCACTACGCTGAGCCGTCCATTGCCGACAACGAGTTCGCGTTTGGCAACAACATCAGCACTCACATTGTCGACGGAGTACTGAAGAGCCTGGAAGACCCCTTCCTCAGCAAATGGATCGTCCTCGCGCTTGTCATGAGCGTGGTTCTGAACGGCTACCTCTTCAACGCCGCCCGCTGGACCATCAAAGAGCCCCATCAGCCGCTTGCCCCAGCTGCTCCCTCCGAAGTTCAAGATGGAGCCCCCACTGTGCCTGGAACCCCCCGCGTGCCTTCAATGCACATGCCCACGCCGCCTCGTACACCCGGCCCTGAGGATACTCGCTTGCAGCCACTGACCCACCTCGTACCGCAGACGCCAGTGCTCCCTATCGGTCCTTCCGAAGAACAGCAAAGACAACCGAACCGTGCTGCTGAGGTCCTTGAAATGATGATCAAGGAAAAGCAAGCCCCCAAGATGACTGACGAGGAGCTTATCGAAATGTCGCTCAAAGGAAAGATCCCCGGTTACGCTTTGGAGAAGACCCTCGGTGACAAGACCCGCGCTGTCAAGATCCGCCGTGGTCTCGTCTCACGTACCCACGCTACACGCGAAACCTCCACTCTCCTCGAACGCTCGCTCCTCCCGTACAGGGACTACAACTACGATCTTGTCCACGGCGCATGCTGTGAGAATGTCGTCGGTTACCTCCCTCTCCCTCTCGGTGTCGCTGGACCTATCCTCGTTGATGGCCAAAACTACTTCCTTCCCATGGCGACCACCGAGGGTGTGCTTGTTGCCTCCACCTCCCGCGGTGCCAAGGCTATCAACGCCGGCGGTGGTGCTGTTACTGTTGTGACCGGCGATGGTATGACCCGTGGACCTTGTATCGGATTCGACAGCCTCACACGCGCTGGTGCGGCGAAGATCTGGCTCGACTCGGAAGAAGGTCAAAGAACGATGAAGGACGCATTCAACTCTACCTCCCGCTTCGCCAGGCTCCAGTCTATGAAGTCTGCTATTGCCGGTACCAACATCTACGTTCGTTTCAGGGCCACGACTGGTGACGCTATGGGTATGAACATGATTTCCAAGGGTGTTGAGCACGCTCTCACCGTCATGGCGACCGACTGCGGTTTCGAAGACATGCGCGTAGTGACTGTGTCGGGTAACTACTGCACAGACAAGAAGTCCGCTGCCATCAACTGGATCGACGGTCGTGGCAAGGGTGTCGTCGCCGAGGCCATGATCCCCGGTTCCGTCGTCAAGTCTGTTCTCAAGTGCGAGGTTGAGGATCTCGTCCAGATGAACATTTCCAAGAACTTCATCGGATCAGCCATGGCCGGTGCTATGGGTGGTTTCAACGCTCACGCGGCGAATATTGTCGCTGCCATATTCTTGGCTACCGGACAAGATCCCGCGCAGGTCGTTGAGAGTGCCAACTGCATCACCATCATGCACAAGTAGGTCATTCCCCAATGACTACCAGAATCAAAACTAACAACATCTAGTGTCAACGGCAACCTCCAAATCTCTGTCTCCATGCCTTCCATCGAAGTCGGCACCATCGGCGGCGGAACCATCCTCGAGCCCCAATCCGCCATGCTCGACCTCCTCGGCGTACGCGGCGCTCACCCCACATCCCCCGGTGACAACGCCAGGCAACTCGCCCGTGTCATCGCTGCTGGTGTTTTGGCGGGTGAATTATCGCTCAACAGCGCCCTGTGTGCGGGCCACTTGGTCAAGGCGCACATGGCACACAACAGGAGTAACGTCCCATCTCGCGCACCCACGCCTGCCCCTGCGACGCCCGTCACCGGGGCTCAGACACCTGTCACCGGAGGTGGCCCGCTGTCTGCTTTGAGCTCTGCGGGAATTGCGCCGAGGCGGTAGATATTCCTGGAGAGTGTGATGGTTTCGGCGTAATAAGGATAGGACTGTAGATACGTTGGGAAGATACCTGGATTTGTTTTGCGCATGTATCAGGGTAATCTGGATTGAAATGGTTCGGTAAGGAGATGAAGACGGGATGAAGATTTATACATACGCCTTCGCAAGAATATGGGTCTTCTGTTGTTATGTCGGATTAGGAGAGGGAAGAAGTATATACATCATTAATGCATTTGAGATAAGATTAACTGCCTGGTTCTTCTGGGTGTCGTGACGTTGTAGTCGCTCCTTCCTTGTTGGGTCGAATAGTTCGTAATTATAGTCAATACGGCAGGTGCGCTGGGTAGGTACCATTGTTTACTCATTCTAAGGAATTCACGTCAGAACCTCAAGTACTCGGTAATGACCTAATCGCGATATGTGCGGTATTGTACTGTACTTAGGATTTGTAACAACGTCTAGCGGCTACGTAGACTTGCCTAAGTAACTTTAAAGCCTTTATAAGTGACCTCAGAGACTACATGCATAGACTAGCTGCTCTATTAATCTCGTATAAAAGAAGCTAGAGGTTACGTACGCCTTTCTACTACACACTAGGTCTACAATAATTACGTCTGGCGGCTACACAGGCGCGCCTGAGCAGCTTCTGAGCTTTTATGTAGGTCGCAAAATGAGACAACGCTCTCGGAAATGAGTATTAACACATGACTGCAGTACTCAACACAATGCTGCTGCGGTGAAATGCTCGCACTACTACCTTCGCGAATTGCACAATAGAATGGAGGGCAGCAATAGCCTTGGTGCTGCTGCATTTCACTTCATGTCAACCCCCTCATCAGTTATAAACTATTGCGACTTTCGTCAGAAAACAGCCCACCATTCTACTCCTCCACCGAACATCACCAAGAATCAACCACACCGCATTCCAAATTCAGGCATTATGGGCGCCTCCACCAGCTCCATCAGCTCCACCAGCTCCACCAGCGTTACGCTCGCCGATCTTCTGAGCACTCGATTTGCCCCCATCCAAGATGCTATAATGGCCTCCCTGGGCCCGTTGGAGAGAATCGCTCTGATGTTGACAAGCAAGACCATCAACAAGAATATCAACGAGAAGCTTCTGAGTGGGACATTCAACATCGACGTTACACTACAGCCGTTCTTCCGGAACACAAAAGCCTTCCGCTCATTACAAGCTCGTTGCAACGCTCTTATTGGCGGTCCCTTCGCCTATTGCCTCTTCGCCGGGCTTCCTCGTTTCGACTCTATCTATCTGTATGTCGGTCAAGAGGTCGATGCTATGACCCGATACCTGGAGGCTGAAAACTACGTGCGAGATGAAACCAACGCAGAAGCCCCCAATCGATGCCGCGACGGAGAGGTATTGTCAGAAGACGTATATGAGAAGGATGGACCCGAGGGATGCAAGCTGCAAGTCGTGATTACCGGATGCCAGACGCAGTCTCTAACACACATGGTTCTGCGAGACGCGTATGCGACAGGAATGCTAACATTCATCGCCTGGAACAAGGCATACCATCTATTACCTTATACCACGTTCGTCAAGAGGGAGATGTTCCTGCTGCGTAATACCAAGGAAATAGATCCATATGATCTGAGACTATCCAGCCTACGTGGCATGAAAATTAAGAGCGTACATTGGAACGCGCACGACGAGATTCGCCCGACAGATTGCCAACTGCTTACCCGGCTTCGACGCGTAGGAGATCAACACACCTGGGTGATGCGTCTAGATACAGAAGGTGTTACGCCATCTCCTGTTCCAGACGCCGTTCTTGAGGCCTCCACGTTCCGTCTTAGCCTGCCAAAGTGGAACGACCACAAAACTCTCTTCTACGAGATGAACGTCTGCACTGAGCTTCGCCATCCAGTACTGCGAGATGCATACTCAACTACGATGTTTGACTCCGGAAGCAAGACACTGTATCACGAGAAGTTATCAAAGCTTTACGACCGACTGAGCGAGGCGACTGCAATTGAGTTGACGAAGATGGACGAGGATGAGCGGCCTAAAGAATACGATCACTTGGTGAATGGCTCGGCCATAGCGTGCGATATGGAAAAGTTCGTTCGACCAGACGATTGGTGCTATTTCGATGAAGATGTTAGAGCGTTCCTGATGGCTGCGTGGAAAGAGCAAGTAAGGCTGGAGGAAAAAGAAGAAGAAGAAGAAGCGCTAGAGCTAGACCATAGATCGGCGAAGCGAGCAAGGTACACTTAAGACGCGGCTTGCAGAGCACAGGAATGCACGATAGTTAGGTCGGAATGTGGGGTTGAGTAGACATTCATGGTTGTACCTGGGTAGCAACATATCACTTTACATGAAATCCGATGTAGTAGCTCGGCATTTGATGGTGCAATCGCGGTCGTGATGATGTCATAGTTCGCGTGTTTTGACGATCCACCAAAAAGCTCGGGTCTAACCTCAACACAAAGATCTCAGCCTTTCGATAGCGTGTGGCTTGCGCGACCTCAACAATAAGCTTTGGCAAGCGAGCGCGACTGCTCAATGCTGCGAACGTGTGGAGTGAACATGTGTGCGGAGTGCATACGGCACCTAGAGAAGTTGCCGACCAGCAGTCACCGGAGCAAACACCGCGGCAATATACACGACACTCCGCTCGAGTCAAGCGACCCAGCCAAGCATATAGCCAAGATCTGCATTTCACCGACCATATTTCCGTCGACTATGGACGAGCATCGCATCGGCAACTTGGCGGGTGAGTGACGTTGCAAAAAATCATGGGACCGTGAGGTGTCCGGCGCGACGATCAGTGGAGAGGTATATAGGAGATGGAAGGCCAGGCGATGGTGATTTGCAGGTATCCAGCTTCGCTACCATCACGAAAATCATGTCGAGCATCATCCCCGTGGACCTTCTATCATATGCGACGGATCCGTCGTACCTGAGCAGCATCGTCACCACCAATGCTTCGAATCCAGATATCATCAACCTCCTCGCATACGATGAAAGCTTTGCGTCTGTGATTGGCGAAAACGCAACAGGGCGACTACTGGAAAGCCTAGATTGGGACGCTTTCCATGAAGCCGGTGTCTACAACAAAGACACAAACAAGCTATACGTTACGAGCAGCTGGGCTGGAGACCTCAACAACCCCATCAACGTTACCGTCATCGACCTCGCAGACAACTACTCCATCAACTCTACACGGATTCCAGGTGTCGCCGAGGCCAACGGTGCAACATCCTACTACCCACCTGGCACCCAAGCCAATGGCTCAACACCATCACGAGTACTATACTGCGACCAAGGTGATTTCGTCAACCCAGCCGGTCTCGTCTCCGTCGACCCCGTAACAGGAGAATCCGAACTCATCCTATCAAACTTCCTTGGACGAAACTTCACATCCCCCAACGACGTTCGCCAACACCCCGTAACAGGCGATCTCTGGTTCACTGACCCAGACTATGCATTCGTCCAAGGATTCCGTCCTGAGCCCAGTCTGCCGAAGCAGGTATACCGGTTCAGTCCATCTACAGGCCAAATTGCCGTCGTAGCAGACGACTTCGTTGAACCCAATGGCCTTGAGTTCAGCCCGGACTACAAAACACTATACGTGTCCGACACAGGTGCCGCGGGGTACAGTCTCAACGTCACACGACCAGCCACACTCTACGCATTTGATATCACACACGACGCAAAGAGACTAAACAACCGCCGTACATTCGCCTACTCCGACAACGGCATTCCCGACGGTCTGCACACCGATACCGAGGGTAATGTGTGGGCTGGATGTGGAGACGGCATTCATATCTGGAATCCTGAAGGCACGCTCATTGGAAAGATTTGGGTTGGTATTACCACTGCAAACTTTGCTTTCTTACCAGGGGCTGTTATGGTGTTTAGCAATAAGCAGCTGTGGATTGTGGAGAATATCAAGGCGATGGGCAGGGAGGTTGCTAAGGACTTTGGACTGTCGACTCATTACTAAGACAGGGGATGTTTCTTGCAACGAACAATGCATTGTTAACGGCAAACTACGCGCTTGACCGTGATGCCGATTGCAGGTGTTGTGACAAAAGAAAGCAAAGCAAGCCAGTTCGGATTTGCGCAAACAGCAAGCACCACACGGCGCTGCATATAACCCTTCTTCCTACGCCTCATTACGCTGTTTAAGAAGCTATACTCCAGCTTTTTTACTTCTAGTATATATTCAATTCAACAAGTTCTGAACGGAAAGCTCCCTTTCACTTCATGACATATACACCAAACTTCCATCCAAACGAAGCAGGCGGCAATCACAACCGCGAAGCCATTAGGCGTTTCACAAGATGGAGAAGAGGTGTGAAAGCCCTGGCTCCGGCTGCAGTGGACTGCCATCGCGCTCGCTATCCCTCTCTCCCTTGGAGTATAAAAAGCCCGCTACCTTCGCTCCTGAAGGTTCCCACAACCCGCACCACTCCACCGCTCGACCAACAGCTCTCCCCAGCGGGATCATACACACCCACTCCTGCCTACACTCCGATCGCCGCAGGTGCAGTAATCGCATCTGTCCAGCATCAATACCAACTCTATAACACACCACGACGCCACCATGTCTACAGAATGGACACCCGATTGCTCTGACCCTAACGTAAGGGCGCCCCCTCTACAAGAATATCTTCAGCGATTCGGAACTCCTGAAGCCCGGGCTTACTATGCCGCTTCAAACATCGGTTGGCATCCACCCAGAAACGACCCGACGATCCCTCAAAACGACGCCGAGCGCAGATCCTGGGTCCTCAAGTTGGGAGCAGCAATGCTGGGCATCCCCTTCACGTTTGATACCGCCAAATTCTTCGGCACGCGATGGCACCATGCGACCAAGAAAAATCGACCACCTTACCATCTCCGCGAAATGTGGACAGCATGCGAGGAGCTCGTCGGAATTGCTGAACGTCTCCACAATGAAGGTCGAGAATCTCTATCATTGATGTGCGACTCTCGGACGTTTATAAAAGCGGCGATGACCAAACGGATGACGTTTCGTAAGCGCATCACTTCGATGATCGACCACCTGTTGGCGTCGAAGAACACTGTCGAAAGCTTGATGAAGGGCGAGCAGCGCATCGCTTTTGTCGCGTGCGCGGGATGGATTGACAAGAAGAGATTAAACGCGTCTCATCAATCCAGGGCACCGACTTGCCACAAATGCCATATCTCTCCACCCGATTCATGGGTTCTTGCGGAACAGCCGCGTAAACGAACAGCTGATGCTGCTCAGTTGGGAGAAAGTTTTGACAGACCGACGAAGCGTGCAAGGAGGTTTGCCCCGCTTCGTAGTTGCGAGCGGGAGGAGTAACTAATGATTACAGAGTATTCTTTTGGCGTGTTAGCTTTGCTATGTTTTGGCCGTTGTTTGATTAGCGCGTATTTTAGTCTTCGATGAGGGAAGACATTGTCAAAGAAGTAGCTAAATAGCTGCTCGAATAAGAAATATCTAAAGCCATACATGACTTGCTGTGAACATTACAAAAACCGCGTCTTAGCAGTGCCAAACCTGCCGAGGTCTCCAGCACGATAGAAGCAAAAAGCAGGGACTCGCTTATCGTGCACTAGCGCCATGAACCCTGCCCGGCCAAAGATCGGTCTGGCCAGGCACGACCGACACAAAATCTCTCGCCTTCTGTCAACCAACAGTCACGATAACGTACCCACCCGCATACCCAATTACCCACAATGGCTTTCCTCCGCTCTTTCAATTCTGGCATGAGTATACGTGACATACGCAACTGACCCACAGCCCGCGCGACCCTTAGCCATCACCCTCGATTAGACAAAGAGGGGTGTAGTCTTCACCGTATACTCTGTGGATTCGACGATAGCATTGCTTTTTGACTCCCGAAAGGAGCGTCAATTCATCACAAAGCTCACTCACCTACCGCTTGCCGTGCTGCTAATCTCATCGACACTGCTACAATGGACGCCACCGAAAGCGACTCGTCTATCCCTGTAGCCAGTGACTCGGTCTTCAGCATTTCACGCCCTTCCTCAGCCTCCTCGATACATCTGAACGACATCCCGAACGATAAGCCGAGCGATCTGCCAGCGGGCGCACCGATATCTCCCCTCTTCCAAGTCCGACATACACCGACCGCAGGCCGCGCTGTCTTCGCTACGCAGGATATACCAGAGGGCACAGTAGTGTGGCGCTCGGAAGACCTCTCCCTCTCCGTTCTATTACGCGAATACCGGCGTGAGGTGTGTGGGCAATGTTTCGGATACGATTACGGGCGGGATCTGGACATACGGGATAAGACGGTGGGGTTTGCTTTCTGCTCGGAAGCATGCCAGGAGAAATGGCGGGAGGAGAACGGCGAGGTCGGAGTTCAGGCATGGACTGCGGTCGAGACGTTTGTCAAGAAGCGGAGCAAGGAGGATAGCGATATGGTGGACACCGACTTACCACGCCCAAAGGTCAAGGAAATTCAGCAGGCGTGGGAAAACGTCGCTGCACAGGCGGCGCTGATACGGGCTGCACGAGAAAGCGAGCAGACCGCCGGAGTTGCTGTCACGAAGCAGCACAAGAAGGCCGTGCAAAAGGCACTACAGCAGAACATCACACCCGACGTGATGAGCTTCTGCGTCAGCGGCCTGGTCTGGCGGTATCTCCACCCCGACCAATGGGAACGAGTGGAGGCCCTCGCAGATGACAAGACGCCCTACCACAGCTCCGACGACCTCGGCGCCTTTACAAGAACCTACCTGCACCTCCTCGCCATCCTTCCACTTCAACTACTCCCTCTCGTAACGGCAGAGTCGCTCATTACCCTCTCATCCCGCGACTCGCACAATTCCTTCGGCATCCGCTCTCTCGAAGACGACGGCTCGGAGTTCTTTGGATACGGTTGCTGGCCTGCTGCAAGCTACTTCAACCACTCGTGCGGGCCGAATATCGAGAAGAGGAGGGAAGGTAGGGCGTGGTTCTTTACGGCTGGGAAGGATATCAAGGCCGGGCAGGAGCTGTGCATCACGTATCTCAGTGGGGAGGAGAGGAAGCTGAGTCGCGGAAAGAGGATGTTGAGGCTGAAGAAGACGTGGGGATTTGATTGTGGGTGTGAGAGGTGTGAGGCGCTGTAGTTGAGAGATGGGCAGGTCAAATTGAAGTTTAGGTACGGTGTCAGAGCTATGCAAACACGTGTTCTATATGCCTGACATCTTACATACCCTGTTATAGCGTATGATTTATTCGTGGTATGTGGAGAGATTGGATCCGTCAGCTACGTGTGGACTCGATTGCGTTTCAGGCGCTGCCAAGTGCGGGCTGTTGCTGTTTCCGTGCCGGCAGTACCCTGATCTTCTCACGGCTACCGGCTCACTAGTGACATTGAGCGCATACGATAAACTTTCTCCCACACATACATTCGTCGCATTCCTCATCCAACGTTGACTGACATGACGCTGTTTTTCTTGGTGTAGCGAGGTGGGCACGTGGTTGCCATCCGCGCTTGGCGACGTTCATTAGTCATGCCACGAGGGTCCAGATGATTGCCACGAGGATATCGTGGGAAAGGGTCTATTAGTTATCAGATCAAAATATGACAAACCTGACCCCAAGAACTCTACCTGCCCCGTCCCATGTCAGTCCCCGTCAGTCCCCATGTCAGCTCCGCTCACAACCCTGCGAACGCGCAATGATAGATGGGCGGACCGAATCCCATGCGTCAAGGCCTTGGATTTGGGCCGACATGGCCGGCGCGACCGAGACTAGAGCTACCTACATTATTGAAAAGGTCTCGTGGCCTGCCCAACGCGATCTACGTGAATTCGTCTGGACGCCGTAAACGGCACATGTGTTTCAGCCCAGAGGTCTCGAGAGGGCGAAATTGACGTCTTCAATGAAGTTCCCCACTAGACGGTGACGTAACGGATCCGCCGCGCTAGCTGGACCCTGCAGGCTGCTAGGCCGTTGGAAACGCGAAGAGCGAGAAATTAGAACTGCGGGCGCGCTGGGAGGACGCAGGCGCCATGAGATTGCCATATCTCGCCCTGGTCTTATATGCGGTCATTGGGCTGCGTTCAGGCCGTCTCGGGACCCTCTTCCAAGGTCGGAGTGAGGTTTGCATGCAGCGTGGCGTCGGCGGCAGCGTCCCTAGCGAGCCTCTCAGCCTCTAGATGGAGCCAGGCTCGACTGTGCGAGTCTACTGGGAGCTGGGAGGAGGCTGCCGGAGATTCCGCGGGCGTCAGCGTCTGCCACTATTGCTGAAGAGTATTCGCGCGGAGTAGCGCAGTGGCCTCGTCCAAGCAAAAGACAAATAATCTAGAGACGATACATAGAGTTCGTTTCCTCTTCTTTTTGACACCGCCGTTGCTCGCCTCTCCTGCCCATCACGACCCATCGCGATCTAACAATCCTTCCAATTCCAAACGCCCTCAAACTCGACCCTTGCTCGTGCTAGCGGAAGCCACGAGATCTCCCAGCCGGGACGCGGAACAGAAACGAGCGTCATACCTCCACCGCAGAGCGAGTCAATAAGCAGAAACGAAGGCGATCATCGAGATCGAATCCCTACATGCAGTCCAAAACCACGTCTCCCCGCGGCGGACGCAAGAAGATGGGCCTCCCAGTCATCGAGGTGAGATGCTTTTCTACACATTTCTACACAGTTCGATATGCTTCTCGTCTGCACGCAATGCACCACGGCTAGAGCTTGAGGCGCCACGGGCAGCAGCACGCATCATATCGTGTGCGTGTGGTGCAGCTTGTTTGGCGATGATGTAGCCTGCAGCGTCATGAAGCCCGTGCGCCAATGACGCAACGTCGCTCCTCTCTTGTTCCGGCTTCACTCCTTCCTTCGTCCATGCATGACCTTCTTTCCAACCAGCGCTCCTCCCTGACTTCCCCTCACCACACGAGTATTCCCGCCGTGCTACCGCCCGTCTGCCCTCTGCCCCAACAAACGGCTGCACCCGCTTGTTTTTTGCATTCTCCATCGCAGCCTCGACGACCCCGCTATCGACGGGCTTTGTAATACCTCCCAGCGTCCAGACACTAAACATGGCCGCGATACAGAATTTTAAGAACTTCCTGCGCCATGGCAAGCAGGCCCGCCAGAACGCGGAGCCCACGACCAATGTCTCCAATGTCCACGCCCAGTCGCAACATCAACGGTACAACCAGCACCCGGACCCCGTACACCATGGCATCTCGGAGCCCGTAATGGACCACAAGCCGCTCCAGAACCACGCTGCCCCCCATGGCGACTACTCCGTCGGCGCTGGCGCTGGCGACAACCGCAACATTGCCGCCCAGGCTGGCGACGCCGCCGCGCACGCCGCCCAAAAGGAGCACAAGAAGCAGACCGCTGCCAAGGGCGCCGGCGTCGACCCCCAGGTACTCGAGCGCATCGTCGCCGAGGAGCGCGAGGCCAAGGGCAAGCTGCCGAGGTATCCCGGCCTCGAGCGATGGACGCTTCTCGAGAAGATGGGCGACGGCGCCTTCAGCAACGTCTACCGCGCACGAGACACGACTGGCCAATGGGACGAGGTCGCCATCAAGGTCGTCCGCAAGTTCGAGATGAACTCACAGCAGGTTAGTATTACCCCTCCTGCCCCTTCCTCCTTGCCCATTTCCTAGTCACCCCTATCCTACACGTTGAACAGTTGGGTGTTTTTGGACGTTACCAACGCGAGGCCGGTGTAGGACAAGCATGTGCATCCGGACTTCAAGACGCCCAAAGCAGCCGAGGTGCGATAATATAACCCCCGATGCTCGACTCAGCATCCCCCTTCACGACGGGCTTAAAGGGCAGACACTAACTGCCCTATAGAGAGCGAACATCCTCAAGGAAGTACAGATCATGCGCCAGCTCGACCACCCCAACATCGTCAAGCTCATCGACTTCTCCGAGTCGCGGCAGTACTACTACATTGTGCTTGAGCTGTGCCCCGGAGGCGAGCTGTTCCACCAGATCGTCCGTCTGACGTACTTCTCCGAGGACCTGTCCCGCCACACCATCATCCAGGTGGCCAAGGCACTGCAATATCTGCACGAGGAGGCAGGTGTTGTCCACCGGTACGTTCTTATCGATGCCAGTCACGATGCCAAGCATAGTTACTGACGTCATTCACAGAGACATCAAGCCTGAGAACCTTCTCTTCTACCCCACACCATTCATCCCCACCCGCAACCCAAAGCCGCGGGGGCCGGACGATGAAGACAAGGCGGACGAGGGCGAGTTCGTCAAGGGCAAGGGCGCCGGTGGTATCGGCCTCATCAAGATCGCCGACTTTGGTCTCAGCAAGGTCATCTGGGATACGCAGACCATGACACCGTGTGGTACTGTCGGTTACACCGCCCCTGAGATTGTCAAGGATGAGCGCTACTCCAAGTCCGTCGACATGTGGGCGCTGGGCTGTGTGCTCTACACGCTGCTCTGCGGTTTCCCTCCGTTCTACGACGAGTCTATCCAGACCCTCACAGAGAAGGTCGCCCGTGGCCAGTACACATTCCTGTCGCCGTGGTGGGATGACATCTCCAAGTCTGCACAGGATCTCGTCTCCCACCTGCTGACCGTCGACCCCGAGAAGCGCTACGACATCAACCAGTTCCTCAACCACCCATGGATACGCGAAGCCGACGAGCCTACCTACTCCGCTTACGACGCACCGCCGCTCGCCACACCCGCCGCCAAGAAGGAGCGTCTCCAGCCAGACTTCTCCCACCTCGAGTCGCCCGGCGCTCGCCGTATGGACTTCCGTTCGCCTGGTGCCGTCAACCTGCGAGAAGTGTTCGATGTCAGTTACGCTGTACACCGACAAGAAGAGGAGGGCAAGCGGAAGAAGCAGTTCAAGCAGGGCTACCGCGGCGCCAACGCCATGAACTCGCTCAACGCGCTTGACGAAGGTGAGGATGATGACGAGTACGCCGCCGAGTCTGCACCATACGACCCAGCGTCGCAACATCCGCCCGCGAAGCTGCCCAAGTCTCAGGGCGCCGATGTATCCGGCATGGAGCAGAAGATGCGCAACACCACACTATCCGCCGCCGCCCAAGCCCGCCAGCAACAACAAGCACAACCGCGACAGCAAGAACGCGGCTACGGCCAACACTCCCCAGCTGTCGCCGCCGCGGCTAAGCGCCAAGTCAGGAACAAGGGTGCGTTTGAGCTCAACATGGACAGCTCGACATTACTCGGCCGCCGCAACAAGAAGGGCCCCGAGCCTAGCGGCCTGAGGAACAACATCTCCGTCCAATGACAATCCTCGCTTGCGAAGGATTGGTGAGATGGTGATGAGTCTTGTGTCATGATGGCGTTTTTGCGTTTCCTTAATCACTCTTTTCCTGCCCTCCCCCGGTTCTCTCTACGATTTTTGGTTATATCATGTATGCGAGCTTTGTCTGTGTTTCTCCTCTCATGGCATGGCTTTACGGTCTCTCGTGTCTGTCCCCCGGTATGAAGGGGGTGTTTGACATGAGACAGGAGAAGAGAGGGGTTTAGGCATAGTTTATGAAGCTTTTGGCATGGCGATGGATGGATGATAGTAACATGCGATGTGGCATGGTTGTCATGTAGCATGAATGATAATGTTTGAAAACGATGACAATTCCCATGATTCAGTGATAGATTGCGTGATTGAAGTTGTCGTCTTGTTCGACATGGCGACGATACAGATGTTCAGCGAATCGAAGACGCAATACTCTCAGTATTGGTTCGATTGACAAAGTTTGCTACATGTTGGAGATCGCGCTTTGATGAAGACATGAAGTCGTGACAAGGCAGAGAATTGAGGCAAAGCTACTTTGTTGTATACATCTGTACTTTACAATTCTACTACTATGTACGTGTTAAATAAAGATTTTATTGCGCGTAGAAGGGCACTAATCCTTGTATATCTGTCGCGCTCGGTAGCGAGGCCAGTGCTAGTCGTGACTTCCACAATCAGGCTACATCCCATACTCGCTGCTCACACGTCCTGAGAAGGAAGGAACCCCCCAACTAGGTCTATTATCACTCTAATGTACAACCAAGGATCCTGAGCTCCGAGCGTACAGCCTGCCGTCGGCGAAAGCGTGAGATGTCACCTCGCACTTAGCGAAATACAAGCTACAAGACGAGAAGGCAGTCCGAGAGGGTAGCTCGTGATGGCAGTTGCATACTTGGCATTATCCGAAAGAGACGGTCTAGACTACTACACAGAACAATGAACGCGAAACCATATACGATCACTTCTTCGACTCCGCCTCGAACCAGGCCTGCCATGCCGCCGCTTGTTCCCTCCAGCTCAGTGCGGGTGCGAGAGGCGTATCACCGTAGACTGCTTGCGCTTGTTCCCTCCAACCACCCCCGCTGCCTTCGCTTCCCTCAATCTCCCTGCTTGAGCTTCCATCAACTGCTTGCCGTCATCCTCGACCTTCTTCCGCTCGTTCTCGCGATCGGTCTCAGCTTGCTTGTACTCTGCAAGCTCTTTCTCCGCCGCTTCCAGCTTTGCCGCGAGGTCTTCGTTCTTCTTGTTCGCTTGCGCGAGCTCTTGCTGAGAGCGGATGAGGTTGGTTTTGAGGTAGCGCTCGCGCGCTTCGGCGTTCTCGACGCGGGTTTGCATTGCGGAGGGTGGGGATGTCATTTTTGAGTGTGATGACGATGATGGCGACGACGATGAAGGTGACGACGATGAAGGTGATGACGATGATGGCGATAACGCTGATGGTATGTAGACTTGAATGATGGAAGATACCTAGGTATTGGAGAAAGACGTGGTAGCTGTTTGAAAGGAATCTGGAGAGTAAAGTCTTGCTATTGAAGGCATTAGAGAAATCGAGAGTTCACCCTCACCTTCACCGCGAGCTTTGATGATGAGACACAAACGAGAGTACCCGCCTAACGCGCCTTCCGCATTGACTACCAACCATGAAGAATTGGGCTAAACGAGGAAAGTGCGATTGTAACAACACTACAATAACCGCGAATTGCTTGTGACACGACACTGCGTTTTTAGCTACATGATCGAATATTAACTAAACGTAAAAGCTGACGGCGTTCTTGATTGTCACGCATGTGATGTCTTCTTTAGGAATCAATACCAAAAGCCTATATAACATCATGGGCGCCCCTAACCTCCTGATTCTCTCGCTCTATATCCACTCACAAGCATATTCTTACATCACCAACTATCCAACTACTATGATTTCTCTCATCGACCTGCTCAGTCCTCGGTATGCGCCCATCCAACGCGTTCTCCTCGATCATCTCAATCCGGGTGCCATCGCAAGGCTTACCTGTACCTGCAAGGCCTTCGGCTCTTTGTGGCCGACGCTTGTAGCTTCTGACTACAACATCAACTACAAACTCCGGCATTTCTTCAAAGACCCTCGGGAATTTCGGTCCGTCCAAGGAGAATGCGGCGCTCTTCTGGATGATTTCAGCCAGGAGTTCACCACTGATGGCCGCTTAAGCTTCATTGCGCGCTCGAAACACGAGTGTACGCATTTAAGTGTATGGGTTGAACCCACCCGCATGGCGCCGCTAGTTGATTACCTGGATTCTGAAGGCTTTGTGCATTATGATCGACATCCACAGGAACCGGACCTGAATGAGGGCCTTTACTGTACAAAAAAGTGTGGTGTTGACGGGAAATGGAGGCGCGTGGACCTTCGCATCTGGAACTTCAACCAACTAGAAGTACATATGATTACCCGTCGAGCAACCCACGAGGCGCGCTTTATAACATGGAACAAAGCATATACAATATTCCCTTACGAGACCTTCATCAAAGAGAAGTGTCATCTGACGATGTGCGAAGACAAATACCTTTGGCAGTACGTAGTCCTTGTACAAAGGATTGGAAGTCCAGCGTCGTGGGAAGGGTTAGGGTCGTGGTACTGGGCTGACGGAATACTGCACGTGGAAATGGATGGACCAAGTTGTATAACCCGCCGGATAGGGGATTCGCGGACCTGGATACTTGATCTCGACACCACGGGCGTCTCGGCGCCTAAGCAGCCTGATACCATCTATGAGTCATCGACATTCGAGCTCCGACGAAGTTCTGCACCGTACATATTCACACATAAGGGGGAGTTGCTGGGCACCAAGGAGTATCCGAGATATGATCTGCTATATGAGAACCTCAGCCATGCAGTCCTCAAGTATCGGTACCTGATACCACCAGGTACTGGCCCTTCGATAATGAATAAGAAATGCGATGTTATTCTCAAGAAGTTGGATCGCTTGACGAAACTTGAGCTGGAGAAGATTCCGGAAGCAGAGCGTCCGTCGACATATTACGAATTTGAAAGAGGAGAATGTAAAGCTATGCACGTGCGAGATAGGTTCACGCGTGAGGGGTTCACGCTCCCAGCCACATGGACATTCTACGACGAGGAGATTCTGGCGGATTTGAATGATGCATGGGAGAGTCGCGACGAGGTTTGGGTCCAGGATGAAGGCCAGAAGACAGCAGAACGCGAACATGAAGCGGAGGGAGTGGCCGCGAGCGACGAGAACAACGTCGGCGGTCTAGGTGACGCAGCTATAACTGATGGATGAGCATATTGGGACTTTGTATCGTTGATCGCGCGCGATGCTTCAAAGTATGGGCGACGTTGACAATTCGTTTGCGAGGTCTTTCGATCAAATGCAGTGACCATGTCAGCCTCGCCGTAGTCAAACTCTAAACCCAGCGTACCCATGTATCGTGTAGTCGTCTCGCAACCTCAACCGGTAGACCGCGGGGATCCGGTTTCGCGACGATACACAGCTGCTATACGTATGTTGGATGAATTCAGTTTCAGCGAATAGGTGAGACTTGATAAATGACCTGTTCTTTCCTGATACGAGCTTGACGTCTTACTGGTCTGTGCGAATCGATAATAATAGCCCGTCGAAACGGCGGACACGCGTCGGAGAAAGAACTATGATGTAGTTACTTCTTTGCAACACGTCCGTTTGAGAGATTGTCACTATATAACCTCCGACACGGCGCGTTGCTATTGTGCAGTCAATCGTCGCCGCCACCATGGACCCTCTTCTCGCCGCCGCCGAAGCCGCCGCCGCCGACACAACGTCAACCCCGCCAAGCTCCCCGCCCTCCGCCGAGACGCCCCCAGAGAGCCGCCTATGGGGCATCAGCGACATCCACCTCTCCTTCAAGGGCAATCGCGACGCTCTCGAGAAGCTCCTGCCACACCCACACGATGACCTCATACTGTGTGGAGATGTTGGCGAGTCGGCGGAGCATTGTCGGCTCGCCTTCACCAAGGTCAAGGAATGCTTCCGCCAGGTGTTCTGGGTGCCAGGCAATCACGAGCTGTACACGCTGCCCTCGGAGAAAGAGCATGGCGCGAGGGGCGAGGCGAAATACATGGAGTGTGTTGCGATTGCGCGGGAGTACGGCATAATCACACCAGAAGATCCATACACGCTGTGGGAGGGTGAGGGAGGTCCATGTCTCATTGCGCCCATCTTCACGCTGTACGACTACAGTTTCCGGCCTAGCCATGTGAAGCTAGAGGATGCGCTCGAGTGGGCGCGAGAGAAAGACATAGAGGCGACCGACGAGCACCTCCTGCATCCCGACCCGTACTCGTCGCGTATCGAATGGTGCAATGCGCTTCTCGAGAGGACGGAGAAGAAGCTCGCCGCCGCTGTCGCATCACACCCAGATATCCCCTTGATCATAGTAGGCCACTGGCCGCTGCGCGAAGACCTCGTGAAGCTATTCCGAGTCCCGCGCTTCTCCCTCTGGTGCGGCACAAAGAAGACCGAAGACTGGCACAACAAGTACAACGCAAAGGTCGTCGTCTCTGGCCATCTCCACATCAGGCGAACAGACTGGATAGACAACACGCGCTTTGAAGAGGTCAGCCTGGGCTACCCACGGCAATGGCATGATTGTCAAGAGCGAGGCCTCGACATCAACGACCTGCTGCGCGAGCTAATGCCAGGCCCGGAGACACCACCAAAAGACCGGCGCAACACTGTCTGGAGGCAGTTCGGATGAATGACTGCATTGCGAGATACAATCTAATCTTCGATACCCGAGATCATACCTTTTGTCCCCGTGACTGCAGGTACGTCCAATCACTCCCCACCAATTCCTCACGTTCGGCAGCCCACCAGCATGAATCCACGAATCTAATGCATTTCTCGTTCTGTTTCTCCAGACTGCAGCATGTCACATTCACCTCCCCTGCACCTGCCTGATGCGGACTCGGCCTAGTCTCGGCCAAGCACCAATGGCTCGGACGCGATCAGCCACGCGCTTTCTCCTTATTCGCCGGCATGCAACCGTCGTGGTTCCCAATCTAGTCGATCGACATCCTGCGTTGCCTTTCACGCATGTTTGCTCCGGGCGTAGAATATGCAACGTCTGAATCGTCCCGTGCCGGACGCCGATGCGCTGCAGGTACCCCAGCGACAACGTCGGAAACGTTGTTATGCGTCCAAGGGAGCTGGATAAACGGCCAATTGGTGGTGGTATATCAGGGCATGTGCGCTGTTTGTGTGCTCTCCACGGTTCTGTTCGTATCGCGCTTTTGCTAGTCTGTATCGTGAACTTCCCCATTTGGATTGAGAGAGACTTGAGGACTCAGTGAGCACGATATCGGGAAGAGCCGCACGATACTGAACACGCCGAAGACTTCGTATAAAACCACCGCAGCCACCATCTTTTGAGGATCAAGCCAATCTCCCAGCTCAAAGACATTGTCACTCGCTTGACACACCGTCGTTCAGTCTTACTTCATTCGCTTTCAGCAGACGTCAAGATGTTCAGCATTGCCATTCAGCTCCTCGCAGCCGCGAGCGTCGTCCTTGCCTCCCCCGTCAACCTCCAAAGCCGTGCTGTCATCGCCCATGATGCCGTCGTCGGCTTCCCCCAGACCGTACCGTCTGACATCGTAGGACAGCTCATGCTGAAGTACAAGCCCTACCTCAAAGTCGAAAACGGCTGCGTCCCCTTCCCCGCCGTCAACGCCGCAGGTGACACAGGGTAAGTCAACCGTATTCCAGAAAGCGACCCCTTCTAACAACCTCCAGCGGCGGCCTCCAACCCACCGGCGCCTCAAACAGCGGGTGCAGTTCCTCCCCCGGCCAAGTTTACGCCCGCGCCACTGCCCACAACGGCGCCTACGCCATAATGTACTCCTGGTACATGCCCAAAGACAGCCCCGGCCCCGGTCTCGGCCACCGCCACGACTGGGAAAACATCGTCGTCTGGCTGTCCGCCCAGTCCACCACCGCTACTATCCGTGGCATCGCCATCTCCGCTCACGGCGACTACGACAAAGTTACCAACCCCAGTCTTACTGGTACCAGGCCAAGGATCGGGTACAGGTCTATTTTCCCGGTTAACCACCAGTTGATTGAGACTACGACTCAAGGTGGAGAGCAGCCGTTGATTGCGTGGGACAGTATGACGGCAGCGGCGAGGAGTGCGATTGAGAACACAGATTTTGGTAGTGCGACGCCGTCTTTCCGTGACAGCAACTTTGGAAACTACCTCGACGAGGCTTTCATTTGAGGAATAGATATGGATAGCAGTACATAACATAGCATCTCATCATGATATTTGCTCAGTTGAAACCACCACATGCCTTCTTCACCAATCTAGTGCTTGAATAAGAACTATCGTTCACACCTTGTACAAGGGAAAAACTAAACAGGTGCGCTAAAGTCTAGATTACAACACAGTCGCAAGTTCTAGGAAGTGTCAATGCAATGTACCCTTCTTAGCTTCTTTTGTTTACTTCGTGGAGGTATCTGTTCAGTTTTTCCCTTGTATGGGGTGTTCATCTCCTGCGAGAGCGTTTGCCACCAGCCCCCCTCAACGTTGCAGCCTCCGTATCGGTTCACCTTCCACAAACCAAGCGAGCTTATTTTCGACCAAGTCGAAACAATTGCCGAAGTCCAGATTACATTAAGAAGTGTCTTTATTCGTATAAACAGTCTCAATCGACCGCTACTAGAACTAAAGTCACGCCGAGCCCCACAGCATAGAATACAGAGGGTATACGGGCCGAATACAAGCCCCATCCGTATCAGCAAGCCACACGCATGAACCATCGCCTCACGGCTCAAGCCGAATACCCAGGAGGGGGACCCGCCGGCGCCGTATACTCCGGCGGCGGAGCCTCACCAGCAGGCGGTGCAAAGCCTCCCGTACCCGCATTCTGCTGCTGCCCTCCAAGCACCCTCCTAAATGCCTCTTCACGCGCCTGCTGCAGTTGCAAACGCGCATGTTGTAGCTTCGCCTTTGCCTGGTCCACCTCGCCCTGCAGTCCCTTCTCCTGCGCCTCACGCTGTCGAATAATCTCCCCGCACTTGTTCCCCGCGCGGTCAACCTGCGCAATAGACTGCTTGACCTGATCGTGCATTTGCATATCGGAAAAGATGTTGTCAAACACGACGTCGCTCCATATACTACCCATAGCGATGTTGAGTTGACCCAGCCCCGGTATCTCAGGCGCAACCTGCTTGACCTGCTGCTGTAGCATGCGCACCTGTTGGATGGAGCTCTCGGCGCGCTCGAGGTAGTTTCGCTTCTGCATGCTGGCCATTGTGCCGCCGCCGAACATGTCGTATTGCGACATTCCGTATGCGCCGTCGAGGTGTTCGCGGGCGGCAGACAGCTTGACGGAGGTCTGCCCGAGGAGGAAGAGGATGTGGCGCTCGCGCTCGAGGCGTTGGGTTAGGTCCTGGACGTGGGCGTGCGCGGCGTTGCAGGCATCTTCTTTGCGGTCTTCGTCGGGGAATTCGGGCGTGTGGCCTGCGAAGATGGAGTTGTAGAGCGCGTCGAGGTCGGCTTGGAGCGCCGTGTGGCGTTGGGCTTGCGTTGCGATTTCATTCTTGCGTGTCTCGGCTTCGGCGCGGAGCTGTTTCGCGTAGGCGAGTTCGTCTTCTGCGCTCTTTTGCTCTTGGATTGCGTCAAAGTACTCTTTTTCTTCTTTGGCGGCTTTTTCGGCGAACTTCTCCTTCTTTCCGCTGGCCTTGTGGGCGAAGCGGCGGAAGTGCGAGTCGCGGTACTTTTCGTGGTCTTTCAGCTCGCTGGCTGTTTTCTGCTTAAGGTCGTTGACGCGCTTCCTGATGTTGTTTATTTGCGCGTCGAGATCAGCGATGTAGGCGTTCTGCTGCTTGAGTTGTGAGGGCGCTGAGTCTGTGTCCTCGAGGCCACGAAGGAGTTCCTCGTTCCTCTGGGCTGCCTCCTGAATCTTGTTGTGGATTGACATGATTAGATGATTTCTGGGATACTAGTTGTGAGTCGTAGCAAGGTGTGATGCGATCGGAGGTAGCCTGATGCTATATATCTAGGAAGCAGCAAAGCACAGCCTACCCAATCGACTCCTTACGGTAAGAGATCATGGTGGTACTGCTTGGCAGTCGGCCTGACGGCACGAATACATGGCCTTGTCTTAGGCTATTGGGCGCCTGATTATGAACCAAACTGCTGTCTTTAACGGCGGGTGGCTGGTGGTGTTGAAGCGGGGCAGATTCCAGACGTCATAAGGAGCAAGGCTGAGCTACCATCCAATACGGTCTAGTCGCATGTGGCGCAGGCCGCTGAGCCTCAATGCACTAAGGCGGCGTGGCAACGGCTATCTCGCATTTTGGATCTCATGCTGGAATCCGGGGTGACGATGATATAGTTGCAAACAGCAGCGTCTTCGTACAAGACATGGTGAGGGGTATCCTCAGGTGGAGACGCACGGATGGCAAGAATAGCCGGCTTTCCTCCAGACGGAAGGAGGTGCCTAAGGACACCGCACCGTTGCTCAAAGCCCCACCTCGGACGCCGTGGCACAACTTCGGGTGTTTGGTGTAGCATCGGATACCCTCAAAACCTCAACAGCGTCAAAAGAAAGCTTGCTCTCGATTTTTTGCATATCCATTGATTCTCAGCACGCCAACAACCCGGCTCAAACATGGCTACCGAGAAACTACAGACATACTCGCAGAAGCCCCGCGTTTTTATCTTGTCGGACATCTCGAATGAGCCGGATGATGCCGAGTCGCTATGTCGATACCTCTTGTATTCCAATGAGTTTGAGACGGAGGGTCTTGTAGCTTGCACAAGCACGTGGATGAAGAACAAGGTGCATCCAGAAGACATGGGGAAGATTATCAACGCATATGCCGATGCTGTCGACAACTTGAACAAGCATGTGCACCCGAACTGGCAGTATCCAACGGCACAACATATGCGTGGGTTGATTCGCAAGGGCGCCGAGGTAAGCTCCATTCGCTAGACGCAGCACTTCACGTGGGTAGCGCTGACAGTATCTAGACTTACGGAATGTCAGCCGTTGGCACAGACACTCCACTGTCTCCAGGCGGACAGCTGCTATACGATCGAATCGTCGCACCATCCACCCAGCCATTATGGATTCTTTGCTGGGGCGGAACAAACACACTCGCCTCAGCATTACTCAAAGTAGACGATGACTTCGAGCCCGAGGACTCCAAGCGCTTACTCTCGCGTCTACGCGTCTATGCCATTTCCGATCAAGATGATACCGGCGCATGGATTCGCAACAACTTCCCCGACGTATTCTACATTGCTTCCATTCACGGCTGGAATCAATATGGATTGGCAGCATGGACCGGTATTTCCGGCGACAAATACTATGGCTTTGATGAAGGTGGGCCAGATTTCACCAAGATGGAGAAGAGCTGGATCAAAGAGAACATCCAGATTGGGCCACTCGGAAAGGCGTACCCTGACTATCTCTACATCCCGGAAGGAGATACCCCGACATTCCTCTACCTCATCCAGAATGGTCTGGGTGTACCTGACTGCCCCAACTACGGATCTTGGGGTGGTCGATACGGGCGAACTGATATCAGCACTGAAGGCCTGAACAGCAACCATTACAGTGATGTCGTAGACAGGGTTAAAGTTGGCGACAGGACGTATACATCAAACCACGCGACCATCTGGCGATGGCGCGACGCTTTCCAGAACGACTTTGCCGCGCGCATCAAGTGGAGCATGGAGCCTGATTTCGCAAAAGCAAACCACCACCCCGTCATCAACATCAGCGGTTTCAAAGGCTTAGCGCCTGTCCAAATCACCGCTGAGGCCGGATCAAAAGTCACCCTCGACGCGTCTGCTACATACGACCCTGATGGCGGAAAACTCACATTCAAGTGGTGGCATTATCGGGAACCCACAGCGACGCAGTGGTTGGTTTATAGCGAGGTTGCGCAACTTGTGATCAAGAAGCTGGACGATGAGGGTAGGAAGGTCGAGGTAAGACTTCCGCCTCCGGAAAAATGCGCGGTCGAGTTCCTGAGCAAGAAGCCGGTTGCCCAAGGTCAATTGCTTCATCTGATACTTGAGGTCACGGATGATGGTACGCCGTCACTAACAAGCTACCGGAGGGTATTGATCCAGGCAACAAACAAGGAGTTGAAGGGAGGGGCAAAGAGCGCTGGTTCTATTGGCGATGGGACAAAGAAAGCGTAGCATCTCTTGCAGGAGAAAAATAGTGGTATACTTGATCGACTCGATCATAGCCAATCAAGAATTACATCTTTCTCGGTGGCGAAACTCGTGAGATGGTGAGCTTTGGGCGACTAATTCGACATCCGAGTGACATGTACGACACCACAGCGCGCGTCAAACTACTAGATTCTGAACCAACAGCGTGGGTGTGTGAGTCGCTGTTAAAAACGCGGCACGTTCATAGCGTACTGCAGACAGGAATTTGGTAGATGAAAGACCCTGGCGCCGGGCCGCTGACGTCATGACACACTGGCGCAGCGAGTTATAACCACCAGTGACAGCCATCGGTCTTGTTACTGAAGGGTTGCGCCGAACGCAGAAGGGATAACCCTACATGTTGTAGAAACTACGTCTCGCGTTCCTGTTGTCAAAACAGGTTGTCGGCTGGCCACACACGTGTAACCACGGCGATCTCGTCGATCGTGCATGACGTAGCGTATTCGCACTTGAGCTGTCATACTAGCGTTGACCCGTCAAACCAGCCTCCTGACTAGACTTATAATAACATTATCGAATTGTGTCTAGACGAAGGCGCGCCCCCAAAACAAGCACAACGAAATCGAATCGAAGCCAGTCGATTTAACGAACCAGACATGGGAGAAGTTCACGTTGGCGGCGGGCAGTGCAACGTCCCCGAACATGAGATTAAGCAGAATGCAGGCGTGTCGGCGCAAATGGCGCTCCAGGCGGGACAGAAGGCGTGGGAGCTGAGGCAAGCTGCGCATGGCGCGGGCGACGCGAAAGCAAGAGAAGAGATTCTAGCGAAGGCGATTAATAAAGAGATTGAAGCAGAGTCATTCGGAAAGGCGGCAAAATATACACAGTCGGGTGCTTTCCAAGGTCTCGCCGCTGGTGCCGGATTGGGAGTGCAGCCAGGTGTCACCATTGGAAAGCTGACCGGCGCGCTCGTTGGCGGCACAGTATCCACAGTGACTGGGCTGCTGGGAGGTGGCATTGGATCAGTCTATGGCGCGATGAGCGGCCCAATGTGGGATCTTGGACAGATGGCAAGTCAGGGGGTTCAGGGTGTTGTTGGCGACTTCCTCCCGGATGTCAAGTCAACGCCATCGCAAAAGAAAGCCCTGGAGAAGATGGTTATGCAAACCAAGGAAACGCAGGCACCATCTAAAGAAGAACTAGAACAGATGAAGAATGACGCACCGGATATGATGCCGCAGACTTGGTCGCAGTCCGCGAAAGACATGACTGCTTGGAGACCGAGCATGCCGTCGGCAGTGAAGAGTGCGGGGGCTGGAATTGCAGGAGTTGGAGCTGCGATGAACCCTTGGGGAGGTGGAGGTCAACAGCAGCAACAGCAGCAAGGCTCATCACAACCCAAGCAACAGCCTCAGAAGCAAGCCCAACAAGCGCCGAGTCAACCCAAGCAGCAGTCTAAGCCCCAGCCTCAGAAAACCTCTCAAGCAAAGCCATCGCAGCCGAAGACAAATGGCACACAACCGCCAAAGCAAGAGAAGCCACCTTCAAACGAACCAGCGAAGGAAATTCCCAAACCCCGTTCCCAACGCCCACCCACAACCCGCGGCCCCGCAAACCCCCAATCCTCAACGCAATCCACCCCGCCCTCCCAACAAAAGCAGACACCAAACACACAACAAACATCGATCAAGTCCTCGTCACAGAAATCACCATCCACGGCGAACAAATCTGCAAATGGATCTGCTCAGCCGAAACGGGTGTCGTTTAGTGATAATAAAGAGAATAACGCGCCGGCTGCGGCGGAGAAGCCGAAGAGGAAACCGAGGAAATTGGGGCAGCAGGGTGGCGCTAGTGCTGGTAGTGGAGGAGGTGGTGGTGGGAACGGCGGTGCAGCGAAGAAGGCGCCGAGGAAGTTGGAGTCTAGGAAGCCTGCTGCTGCTGCATAGATTATGGATGTTGTGGAGGACGAGAGAAAGTAGCAGGCTGGCGGAGACATTGATGTATTGAAGGACGTTTGAGGAGCAGAAGGGGTGATGTAGTCATAATAGTTGGTTCGTATGTAGGTGTTTTGTATGCGTTTTCGGCGGATAGTGTAGCGATAGAATGGGTTTAACGTGACACATACATATTTACGAACGGTTCCATGCATGTGCAAGGCTCTCGGATGGGAGCGTATTGTCAGAAATACTGTGAGGTCATTGATGTCTCCTGATGTCAGCCAGAGCATGGGCAGAATCGCGTCGACGACCCGGTGTGTACTTTTGCGCAATGTGCAAGATAGATTTGAGGCTAGAAGTATACATTGCTTTAGAAACTGACTACTTAACAAGATTTGATGATACGTATTCTGCAAAAGCATTCTTGAAACCACCACCCTTCAAGCGTACAGGCAGCCTTCGACCGGCTTCTGGACAGCTTTGTCGCTAAAAGAACAATGTCCAGCTTGATTTCTGGTACCCTCGATCGTGACGCCCCACTTCAACGGACGCTCGACAACGTCGTATAGACCCTCAGCCTTTCCACCGTTCCAGTTCTTTACATGACACGCCGCACTGATAACGGCACTGTTCGTGCCTTTGAGTGGCATCCCCGTCGGATATTTGCCAAAGCCGGCGAAAGCCAAACAGACTGCGACTAGGAGACATCCCATAATGATTGCCGCAAGGAGCGCCGAGTCTGAAAACCCCAGACCGGTCACATGATTGAACCTATCTCGCAGCGTCGGCTCTAGCACGCCATTTCTGTAAACAGCAATGGGTGCTATGAACAGTGTCTGTGATATGAACCAATGTAGCAAAGCACTTGCGATGATGAGCGGAAGACTGTATTTCCAGGGCAGGGAGAGGAAGTATGTAGAGCGCTGGGTAGAAGCTGGGACGGTGACGCGAAGTGCAGCTCGTTTATGTACGTAGCTCGCCCATTCGCGGTTCGCGAGCATCGTCGTGAAAAGCCCGTTGTAAGTGATGTAGAGAAGCGATATGGTGACCTGAGGCGCATTGGCTACAAGAACGTAGGGTATTATGGATTTGGATCCGAGGTATACATCGAGGATAAAACCTGATACCGCCAGAGTTAGCACTTTGCAACACGAGCATGCTGGAGGATTGCAAATTGGTGAAGAGTTCGAATGAATCACTTGCAGCGAACTTACGGAAATTGACGTTCCCAAAGCCATTCCAGCGACAAACTTGGTCGACTTTGAACGTGGAAGCACCTGGATCTATGCACGTTATCCCGCGACGACCAATGCTACTGTAAAGATAAAAAGCTGTAGCGATGACCGCGGAATATCTAGAGCGGGTCAGAATCTATGTTGTACCAAGAAGAGTCGGGTGCGTAGTCTTACGAAAGAAGTGAGCAAAACCAGCGCTTGCCGCCGACAACGGTGTACCAGCGAACATGATTGCCGGTGTGGTGACGATGTATCTTCCGCGCTTCCGATACCCCCAGAGCCTGTTTCATATTGTGACTAGTCATGAGACAGCAATCTTGAGTTGAACTATCCGGTTCCAGGATGAAAGTCTGGATCGCGTCGCCGATCGTAACGATCGTTTCGTTATTCATCCACCCAAGTACCATGAGTAAGAGAGCGATCTTGAGTATGTTACAAGCAATGACAACATATAAGATGCTCTGATTGAGCTGTACTTGGCACCGCTCGGGTGAGCTCTCACTCAGGCAATCTGCAAACATGTAAGTGTAACACGTAATTACCAGCCTGAAAAAACTTACATGAGAGATGAGAAACAAATCTTGGGCCGAACCACAAGTTTGTGACATTCATACCGAAGTATTTGAGCGAACTGTTCTCGATTGTGCCCCCTGTACCCCCCGAGTAGTCTTTTGCCACAACAGCGACAAGGTCGCCAGCCCTTATGAAGGACGTCTGGTAGCGATGAATGCACTCAGTGGCAGAAATGTTCTCAAACGGAGATATTCCCAGATACTGCTTGTCTAGAAATTTGTCCTGGAGATCCTGAACGTAGGGAACATACTCATCATCACCGTCTTCGACCTTCCATCCGCCCCTCGTAGTGAGGAAAGACTCTTCTATCAACGTAAAGTCGATCGCGTTCGTTGCTGTTGTCTGAAATACAACTGAATTGTATCTTGCCCTAGTCAATACATTGAAATTCAGAACATAGAGCGTATACTTACAGAAGATGCAAAGGCATGCTGCTTGTAGCGAGCAATATCCAGACAGCGAGCCTCCTCCTACTGATGTTGGGAAGATTTCTCAGACTCAAGACTCCCACATCCAGCGACTTGCCCCTCCTGTGAGCTTTGTCAATTTCTTCTCTCGTTGGAGCTACAAGTCGTTGTAAACAATAGCTTGATGCACCCAACAAGGCGCTACTCAGTACATTGACGAGTAGTTGAAGACCGGTTGTTAAACGCGATGCAAACACACATTTGCCTGTGTAGATCGTAGCAATGCCGTCGTGTGGATCACCGGCCGCAGCAGCTACTATGGCGCATATGATATTGAAGAGTAGGACAAGCGATGAGCCGATGATGGCGAGAACGAAACCGCCGCGCCAGCCGCTGAATCTGGCTTGACGTTTGTAAGATAATAACAGGCTGAAAGTAAACGAAGAAAAAAGGGTATTTGGAGAGGCAGTCATCTTGGAAAGTAGATCGGTGCTTGCTGAATGATGCCTGAACGGCTACGGGCCATTATGTATCCATTGCTCTTCCAACGTTGGCGTGCACTGTCGCCAACACAGCCACCATTCACCAAATACGATACAGTTCGAAGGAAGACGATGCATCCAAAAATAAGCGGTTGCTGCATTGAGTAACCACAACGTTGGTCGCAAACCTTCGTAGGGGCCAAGCACAGAGTAAGTCGTCGAAACAAAATGTACTCGGCGAGTACAGGATTGTTGATAGGTGGCCCCCAGATTGTCTTATCGGAGCACGGGCTCATGACGGCAGGTCAATAGACTTGGAAGCCTTCGACCAAGGGCCAATACCTGTTGGCTCCATTATTGCTGCATCTCTTCAATTGCGTTGACGTTGCGCGAACCGTACCTTTGGGTTTGGTACAACGAGCACTGCCCGGGCATGGGGTAATTCACCCAACCAATGGGATGTTTCGTAGGATCAACACACGTAAGCCGGCCTGCGACCCAAAAAAGTTCCGCACGTATCAATGCCGTGAAACTGCTTACCAGAGACTTTGCCACATGCATGGCAATAGGGGAAACGTTCGGATATTTGGCGTATCAAATGATCACCGTTTGATTGGCTCGATTGCGTCGGTTTTGGAGCGGCATCCGCGGTACCATCTCAAGCTTTGGCGTAAATTGGTGTGAATACCGCATCGGCAGGCTTTGCCCAGATTCATCGGCAATGCAGCCCTCTATCGACACTGCTGCCTGCGCGTTCCTCTATGCGGGTACTTCTTCGCTGCACCTTTCAGATTAATTTACAGTGCAGCACAAAAATAACCCCCACCCTCAACCCGCGCACTCACCATGGATCTTTCTCATCTCCTCTCGTCCTCGCTAGCGCCAGTGCAGGAGACTCTCATTTCGTTCCTCGGCCCGAAAGACTTTGCGACGTTGGCTGAAGTATCCACAAGCGTTCGTACTGCGCTCAGCGGCGGGCTTCCTTCATGCTACCAGAACATTGAGACAAAGCTCAAAACCTTCTTCGAGGATCCCAAGGCGTTCAGACAAGTTCAAGCCAATACCGGCGCGATCATTGGCGGTGACTTTGCCCGCAAGTTCATTGCTAACGAGCTGCAAACTCCCGTGCAAGAACTATACATCTATACACAGTACTCAGAGGTTAAGCCCTTGGACCTCCGTGCCCCAATATTCGACTTCCTGGAGCAAGAACGGTGGATCGCTGATGAGTACAACAAGACGGGCTTGGGCGTATTCCGAAAGCCGCAGGCTGAGTATGATGGATTGACCATCTGTGTCTTGGATTCGAGGGATTCTCCTCTATGCAAATTGCTCCACGCGGCTTCATCTACCGCGTCATTAAACTTTGTCACTTGGAACAGGGCATACTCTTTGTTCCCGCAGACTACCTTTATCGACAAGCAGTGTTACGTATTGCAGAACCTGCCTGCGGATAAGACCGCGGGTATGGTAAAGCGACATGGTGATTACCTTCGGGGTTTGACATGCGACGGTATCCAGACTCGATTTCTGCATTGGGATGATAAGTATACGAACCCCATTACTCGCCCTCGCCGCGTCGGCGATAAGTATACGTATACGATTGGACTTGACCCTACAGGTATCGATTGCAGCACATTAGCGATACCGCAGACTGTCGTGGAGTTATCTACCTTTAAAATCAAGCTCTGGCATTGGAGAAACAGCAATGGTGGACGTGGGCCGATCACAAGTTACGTTATGAGTGCAATTGGCGTGGATAGCGCTGTCCTCAAACAGTCCTATGTAGTCCTGCATGAAGACGAAAAAGATCAATGGGAGCCCGACCAGCCGGCACCATCTAGGCTCTTTAAGAAGACGATCCATCTTGTATGCCAGATCGGTGGCTTGACGATATTGGAGCTTGCAAAACTGCCAGAGAGCGACCGCCCGATCGAGTACAATAACATTATTAACGGGAGGTCTCGCGAGGCGTTCGGGTGGAAAAGCACCAAGGTACCAGAGACGTGGTCATACTACGACGACGACTTTATGAAGCAGCTGGGGAAGCTGTGGAGGGAGCACGAACGCGACGAGATGGAGAAGGGCGATGATCGGACTAGCCAGTAATGAGAGCGACTGGGGGCGAAGCCGGAGCAAGTCGGCGTTTCGTCGGACGAGAGCGAGGATATAGCGGTTCGTTGGATAGCGGTTAGTCGCGCGTGTGGATGAGGTATGTTTACAATAAAATGGCGTCAGTGCGAGTTAAAGAACTCGTAGACAACTTGTGGTATAATGTCAGTCATCCAGCTGAATTAGCGTCATAGATAGCG